GGAACTCTTCCTCCGAAGGGTAGTTCAACTTGCACTTGTTGTGGGTGTTTCCGAAAGGCATGGTGGCGGTTGACGGTGAGTCCTGCCAGAGGCCGACGAGGAAAGGGTGAAAAGTCTGGAGCTGCAGCAGATCCAGAGCGAGGCTGGCATTTCTGGGCAGCCAGACTTGAAATTGGCTTGTAAAAATGTGCCCAGAGATCGGGGATTATGGACTTCTCTCCCCCTCGAGAGAGCAGAAGGGGCTGCTGGGCTCAGGAGGATGGGAAGAGGTCTTAGGATCATTGCCTTAAAAGGTTCCCTCTAGCAGATGGGAAACGTGGGTCTTGCAGGGGAAAATTCATGGGGGAAGCTTCGCCTGGCAGGTGACGACTTCGGTGAGAAAGGGGACATTTTCAAAAGAAAAGGGATCAGGATTTCACACTGTGCCAAACTCCACATTTTTACTGCAGGGCAGACCTGGGTTTGGGCTGCTTCCTTGCATTTGGGGTGTCAGATATTGAGTAACAGAAACATTGGGGGGGGCGGTCAGACCCCTACCCAAGGTTTCAAAGACAGAGTTGGCCATCTGCCCAATGTGGGGCAGCAGACGGGACCCCCTCTATCACTGGGGTCACAGCCCTTCAGAGATCCGAAGAGTTCTTAGCATTCTTCAAACCAAACCTGCAGCCCCCCCTTTTTAGGACGGGGTCTTGGTCTGCCACCATCCAAGAAGCCATCCCAGTGGCTCCGCTTGCCTGGGGGCCACCAGCACCGGAGGGTAGCCAGGGCCCAGCCCCTCCAGCCTGGCCAAGCTGGGCAGGAAGCAACGCCCGCCCGGGGACTCAGCTCTGCAGGAGGAAGCCCTTGGCAGGCTGGGCTTTGGAGACCCTCGGGGCCCGTCTTCTCCTGCAAGAAAAACCGGCCACCCTCTTCCTCACCTGCACCCCAAAAGGCTTCCCAATGGGTGAGAGTCTTAATCCCCAACAGCATGCAAAGTGAAATGGGGTCCCCTTCTTGAGGGTCACCATCAAGGTCAACCACTGGAGATGTCAGCTGACCCAGAAGGCAGCAGCTGCGCAGACCATCTTGGGTGGGGGTGCCCAGAGCGTGGGGCAGGGCACAGGCTCTGCCCCTCCCCTCCAGATCCACCCACAGAAAGCCAGGATAATTTTAGCCCCTCAGAGGCCAGTTTATTTATAGTGGCTGCTTTTTGTCCACAAAAGGGCCCTGATCACTGCCTCCGCGTGGCTTCCGCGTGGGGGGGTCCCTGGTCACAAGTGCAGAGGCATTCCAGAGGCGGCTTTTGCCACCGGTCAGCACTCTGCAGCCCTGAGAGAAGCCAGACACCCAGTCTCTGGGGTGGGGGGAGTCCGGGAAGGGAAGGGAAGGCGGCTGCTGAGGGGAGGGGGTTGAGTGGAGCCTCTGCAGATGGGGTTCTGTTGGGCACCCCCTTTGCCCACCCTTGACCCCCACACCGTGGGGAGAGCACAAGGTCACGGCCAGATCTGTGGTCACCCTCCCCATTCAGGACCACCCCAAATACATGCTCGGAAGAGCTGTCCCCTGCGAGAGAATCCCAGCTTTGATTTCATGGGAAGAGAGTGCACGAAGGACAGCGTTTTCAAAAAACCCATTTAAATTTTCCCCTAAATTGCTAGCAAAAGTACCCCACCTGTTTCGGTCAATTCTCGCCCCCCCCCCTGCAAATCCAGACCAGAGAAGAGGGGGTTACCTGACCAGGAGAAGCGAAGCCTGCAGTGTCCCAGGGGCTGCCTTGTCTCACTCCGGCACAACAGGTGACCCAAGAGTCTGGGCTGGGGGCTTCGGCATATAAATCCTGGCCCTCGTCCCCATTGGCTGAGCCCTGGCCGGCAGCCCAGCTGTGATTGGATGCAGCAGCCTCAGCTCAACTTGAAATTGGGTGGGAGTCTTCGCTCTGGGTGCTGGAAAAGGCATCGCCCTCCTTTCGGGATGGGGCAGCTGCAGGTTCCTGCACGGCCCCAGAGCCCCCCTCCCCCCCCTGCTAGGACCCAGCCAGGAATGGCTGAGGTTTGTAGGAGTGCCTCTGAGTGTGTGAAGAGTGCTCTTTCCTACCTGAGCTGGTGCCACAGAGCTCCTGGGCAAGCCTCCAGGTAGAGACGAACCTTTGCAAAACCAAATGTTCACCTTTTAGAGGCCCTCAACGCTGCCTTGAAAGGAGACAGAGCGTGTGCAGAGAGCGTGGGGTGTGTGTGTTTCTGTGAGGGGCCAAGCCATGCTGGAGGCACCCTAGAGAAAGAGGGGGGGCAGAGAAAGGGGGCCCATCGTCTGGGGGACAGGAAGGAGGGCCAGTCAGGAGTCCGGACCTTCCAAGGCTTCTGCAGGTTTTGCCAAGGGCCTCAGGGTGTGAGGGGGAGCCTGGGGGGGGGATGCAGAGGAAAGAGAATGTCAGCTCAACCCCCCCCCCCATTTCTTTGCCCAAGGATTTTGCTCTCTTAGCGGTTTGATGAGATGAGTGCATAAAAGGCGCCTGATTGATCTCTGCGGTCTAACAGCTCCTCTTCCAGGAAGACCCTCAAGGAATGACCCCCCCCAAGAACTGGCATTTGGAGGCCAACTGCCTCTGTGAAGCAACAGAATCCCCCATGTTTTGGGGCAAGTGGGGGCCCTGCCAGGCCTGGCCCTCTTCCGGGGGCCCCTCGGGGGTCCTTCTACACCCGTCCCACGGCAGGAGGGATGCCACTGGTGCCGAAAGGGCCTGGCGTCCGCCTCCTTTGGCAAGTGGGCTCCAACCGAGAAGGAGGAAGCTGGCTCCTCTGATTGAAAGCCCCCCCCCCTTCTCCCTCTGCCCCACCCCACAGAGAGAGCAGAATTAAGCGGAAAAGGAAATTTCGCTTCCTGATTTGCAGGGAAGGCAAGCTCTGCCCCCCCAGCCACACCCCGACCCTCAGCTGCTCCAGGTACCTCTTGCTCCATGCGCCCCCCNGGAACTCTTCCTCCGAAGGGTAGTTCAACTTGCACTTGTTGTGGGTGTTTCCGAAAGGCATGGTGGCGGTTGACGGTGAGTCCTGCCAGAGGCCGACGAGGAAAGGGTGAAAAGTCTGGAGCTGCAGCAGATCCAGAGCGAGGCTGGCATTTCTGGGCAGCCAGACTTGAAATTGGCTTGTAAAAATGTGCCCAGAGATTGGGGATTATGGACTTCTCTCCCCCTCGAGAGAGCAGAAGGGGCTGCTGGGCTCAGGAGGATGGGAAGAGGTCTTAGGATCATTGCCTTAAAAGGTTCCCTCTAGCAGATGGGAAACGTGGGTCTTGCAGGGGGAAATTCACGGGGGAAGCTTCGCCTGGCAGGTGACGACTTCGGTGAGAAAGGGGACATTTTCAAAAGAAAAGGGATCAGGACTTCACACTGTGCCAAACTCCACATTTTTACTGCAGGGCAGACCTGGGTTTGGGCTGCTTCCTTGCATTTGGGGTGTCAGATATTGAGTAACAGAAACATTGGGTAGGGGCAGTCAGACCCCTACCCAAGGTTTCAAAGACAGAGTTGGCCATCTGCCCAATGTGGGGCAGCAGACGGGACCCCCTCTATCACTGGGGTCACAGCCCTTCAGAGATCCGAAGAGTTCTTAGCATTCTTCAAACCAAACCTGCAGCCCCCCCTTTTTAGGAAGGGGTCTGGCTCTGCCACCATCCAAGAAGCCATCCCAGTGGCTCCGCTTGCCTGAGGGCCACCAGCACCGGAGGGTAGCCAGGGCCCAGCCCCTCCGGCCTGGCCAAGCTGGGCAGGAAGCAACACCCGCCCGGGGACTCAGCTCTGCAGGAGGAAGCCCTTAGCAGGCTGGGCTTTGGAGACCCTCGGGGCCCGTCTTCTCCTGCAAGAAAAGCCGGCCACCCTCTTCCTCACCTGCACCCCAAAAGGCTTCCCAATGGGTGAGAGTCTTAATCCCCAACGGCATGCAAAGTGAAATGGGGTCCACTTCTTAAGGGTCACCATCAAGGTCAACCCCTGGAGATGTCAGCTGACCCAGAAGGCAGCAGCTGCGCAGACCATCTTGGGTGGGGGTGCCCAGAGCGTGGGGCAGGGGGCAGGGCACAGGCTCTGCCCCTCCCCTCCAGTTCCACCCACAGAAAGCCAGGATAATTTTAGCCCCTCAGAGGCCAGTTTATTTATAGTGGCTGCTTTTTGTCCACAAAAGGGCCCTGATCACTGCCTCCGCGTGGCTTCTGCGTGGGGGGGGGGTCCCTGGTCACAAGTGCAGAGGCATTCCAGAGGCGGCTTTTGCCACCGGTCAGCACTCTGCAGCCCTGAGAGAAGCCGGACACCCAGTCTCTGGGGTGGGGGGAGTCCGGGAAGGGAAGGGAAGGCGGCTGCTGAGGGGAGGGAGTTGAGGGGAGCCTCTGCAGATGGGGTTCTGTTGGGCACCCCCTTTGCCCACCCTTGACCCCCACACCGCGGGGAGAGCACAAGGTCACGGCCAGATCTGTGGTCACCCTCCCCATTCAGGACCACCCCAAATACATGCTCGGAAGAGCTGTCCCCTGCGAGAGAATCCCAGCTTTGATTTCATGGGAAGAGAGTGCACGAAGGACAACGTTTTCAAAAAAACCAACCATTTAAATTTTCCCCTAAATTGCTAGCAAAAGTACCCCACCTGTTTCGGCCAATTCTCCCCCCCCCCCTGCAAATCCAGACCAGAGAAGAGAGGGTTACCTGACCAGGAGAAGCGAAGCCTGCAGTGTCCCAGGGGCTGCCTTGTCTCACTCCGGCACAACAGGTGACCCAAGAGTCTGGGCTGGGGGCTTCGGCATATAAATCCTGGCCCTCGCCCCCATTGGCTGAGCCCTGGCCGGCAGCCCAGCTGTGATTGGATGCAGCAGCCTCAGCTCAACTTGAAATTGGGTGGGAGTCTTCGCTCTGGGTGCTGGAAAAGGCATCGCCCTCCTTTCGGGATGGGGCAGCTGCAGGTTCCTGCACGGCCCCAGAGCCCCCCTCCCCCCCTGCTAGGACCCAGCCAGGAATGGCTGAGGTTTGTAGGAGTGCCTCTGAGTGTGTGAAGAGTGCTCTTTCCTACCTGAGCTGGTGCCACAGAGCTCCTGGGCAAGCCTCCAGGTAGAGACGAACCTTTGCAAAACCAAATGCTCACCTTTTAGAGGCCCTCAACGCTGCCTTGAAAGGAGACAGAGCGTGTGCAGAGCGCGTGGGGTGTGTGTGTTTCTGTGAGGGGCCAAGCCATGCTGGAGGCACCCTAGAGAAAGAGGGGGGGCAGAGAAAGGGGGCCCATCGTCTGGGGGACAGGAAGGAGGGCCAGTCAGGAGTCTGGACCTTCCAAGGCTTCTGCAGGTTTTGCCAAGGGCCTCAGGGTGTGAGGGGGAGCCTGGGGGGGGGATGCAGAGGAAAGAGAATGTCAGCTCAACCCCCCCCCCCCATTTCTTTGCCCAAGGATTTTGCTCTCTTAGCGGTTTGATGAGATGAGTGCATAAAAGGCGCCTGATTGATCTCTGGGGTCTAACAGCTCCTCTTCCAGGAAGACCCTCAAGGAATGCCCCCCCCCCAAGAACTGGCGTTTGGAGGCCAACTGCCTCTGTGAAGCAACAGAATCCCCCATGTTTTGGGGCAAGTGGGGGCCCTGCCATGCCTGGCCCTCTTCCGGGGGCCCCTCGGGGGTCCTTCTACACCCGTCCCACGGCAGGAGGGATGCCACTGGTGCCGAAAGGGCCTGGCGTCCGCCTCCTTTGGCAAGTGGGCTCCAACCGAGAAGGAGGAAGCTGGCTCCTCTGATTGAAAGCCCCCCCCCTTCTCCCTCTGCCCCACCCCACAGAGAGAGCAGAATTAAGTGGAAAAGGAAATTTCGCTTCCTGATTTGCAGGGAAGGCAAGCTCTGCCCCCCCAGCCACACCCCGACCCTCAGCTGCTCCAGGTACCTCTTGCTCCATGCGCCCCCCTCCCCCCGTCCCCATGGCCCCCAGCGCCCAGCCCAGCAGGTGCAGGGCACCCAGCAGCTGCCCAAACGGGGGGGGGGCTCCTCGTCTCAGTGCCGTAACTGGAACCCTGGCGCTGCTGGGAGGGAAGGTGCCCCCCCCTCCCGGTCAGGCATTCAGGCCGCAGCTGGAGCCTATCATGCACTGCGCTCGCTCTGGCAATGGGGTTTGTAGTCCAGCGTATGGGAAACCCACAGTCACCGCCAGCTGCAGGCAGAGACCCGGACTGGTTCCACAGCATTCTGTACAAACTCAGGGGGGACTTTTCCTCCTTGCACCTCCTGGAAATATGGAGGAGGCAGATTTAACCTCCCGGGGGACAGAAACTCGCCCCCTCCAAGAGGGTCAGGACTTCTGCAGGCGGCTCCTGCAAACTGGGTTTGTCTCACTCCCGACCGCCAGAGCGGGATCAGGTTCCTCAGTCCCAGCCCCCTTTCTCTAGGGAGAAGCCTCTGTCCTGCTGCAGCTGCCTCTTTGGAAGGATTGATGGGAATTCGATCTCGCCCGCTCTGTCCCCCCCCCGTCCACGCCTGCCTCCTGTCCTACAGCCTGACCAGGTGCAAAGAGCTGCCTCCCTTCCTCCAGACTGGGGGGCTCGGGGGAGGCAGGACCAGCAGGACATTTGGGGCAGGTTTTATCAGCCCTGAAACGGGGGACGCTGAGAAAAGCCCTGAAAGCCGCAGGGAGCAGGGTCTTCTTCCCTTGGAGATTTTGAGAGGAAGGAGACCCCGACCCTCCTGGTTTCGAAGAGCAGAGGAAGCCCTGACGGGGGTCTCCTTCTCCGCTTGGGTCCCAACCCCCACGTGTCTGGCTGTGACCCCCCCCCCTTCCCCAGCCAGCAACACCCCCAAAGGCAGAGCTGAGCCAGGATCAAGGGTGCCTCTCTGGAAGAAGGGGAAGCTGTGCCCACTTAGGGGGAGTCTGGAAGGGCTGCTTGACTTTCTGTCTTGGCAGGCGTGGCCCCTGAGCCCCCCAGGAGGGCACCAAGGGAGCCAACTCTGCAGGCAGGTCCTGGGCTCTGAGGGCCAACTTTCATCCAAGGGTGGGGGGGCTCCCAAGCACGTCTGTTTCCGGTCAGAAACAAGGAAGTTACTTCTGTGGGGCACAGCATCCACACACACACACACCCCGTTTCCCAAAGGAGAAACAATCTTGCAGAGCCTCTTAAACATGGTTCTGCTCCTGACCCCAGAGGAGGAGCGTTTGCAAGCTGCCCCTGGACGAGGGTCTGCTGATCTTCAGGTTTTGAGGAATGAAGGACGCACGTCACCCTGTTCAGAGGGGAGGCAGCTGATCCCTAGCTTCACCGGCACCATTTTTCACCCTTGGAGCCCAACACAGCCCATCATCCCCAGCTCATGTGCATGGCACCAATAACGTCCCACCCAGTGGTGGGATTCAGCCAGTTCACACCAGTTTTGCAGAACCGATACCTAATTTGTTTTTGAGTTCGGTGAACCGGTTGATCTGTGGCAGAACCTCTCCCCCCGCCCCAATCAGACCCACATGGCACTTTCTTTCCAGCGGTCCGCTGCCGCCACGTACAGTCCCACAAACAAAAGAGTTTTGTGGGACTAAAAAAAAAGGTCAATCAATCAATTCCAACTTCATGAGATCTTTTTTTTCTGCAGGAACTGGAATTGGAATTGATTGATTGAACTTTTTTTTTTAATCCCACAAACCTCTTTTGTTTGTGGGACTGCACACAGCGGTGGCGGACCACGGTGGAGTTCCACGTCGGAGCTGGAAAGAAGTTTAGAAAAGAAATGGGTTGGGAAGGGAGGGCACCGGGGCGGTGGCGGGTGGGGCAAGCTCTCCAGCTCCACGGGGGCAGAGAAATGCAAAGAGGGCTCGGAAGGGGAGTCAAAGGGAAGAGGGTGGGTGGGCAGGTGAGGGGGGATCTGTCCCACACTGCCCCACTTGTTTTGCGGCCGCTTTCGGCTAAGCCGCATCGTGCCCACCAAAGCTGCCGCCAAGATGCTTGGCAGAACCCCCCTGCCCCCGATTGAACCCACGCGGCATCTTCTTTCTAGCTCCAACGCGGAACTCCGTTGCGGTCCACTGCCGCTGTGTCCAGGGACTAAAAAAAAAGTTCAATCAATCAATTCCAACTTCTTGTGGAAAAAAAGATCTCACAAAGATGGAATTGATTGATTGAACTTTTTTTTTTAGTCCCACAAACTTCTTTTGTTTGTGGGACTGCACACAGTAGCGGTGGACCGCGACGGAGTTCCGTGTCGGAGCTGGAAAGAAGGTGCCCTGTGGGTCCAATCGGGAGCATCTGCCAAGCCTCATGGCAGCGGCATTGGCGGGCACAACGCGTGATGTGGCCGCAGAAACAGTGGGGCGGTGTGAGAGGCTGCGGCAGGGTACCAGTAAGCAGGGTGCATGGGTCCGATCCCCGTTCCCCTGCTGGCTTCGCCTCATGGCAGTGGCACTGGCAGCTCCCCCCCACCTCGTGTCTGTGGTATGGTATGGTAGCAACGAGAGAACCGGTTGTTAAATTATTTGAATCCCACCACTGGTCCTGCCCCAGGCAAGTTGCCTCCTTTGCCGTGCTCGGCCTGGCAGAGAGATGCCTGTGTTTAGACTCTCCAAAAGAGGTAGACACTCAGCTCATGCTCAGAGACAGCCTTGTGCTCGTGCCTTCATGCCTTCAGGCTTTGGACTGGCTCAGTCTGGATTCCAGCTGCTGGAACGTCTTCCTGGCAGAGGAGACGCCTCGTCTGCACAACCAAATCGGACTGCTGAGAAGGTGGAACTCTAGCCCTTCAGTGGGGGGGGGCACGAGAGAGACACATTAGAAGAACACTTGTCAGCCTGTTGAGCAACTGACATGCAGGTGAAGAGGGACACCCCCCCACAAGGGAATTCTGGGAGTTGAAGTCCACCTCACTTAAAGTGGTCAAGCTTGAGAAACACTGCCCCAGGGTTTCAAAGATGGAATTTGAAAACCAGCCCCAGATCCCAAAGACCCCCTCCCGGTGCAATCAGTGGGGGCCCCCATCCCACAGCTTGCAGGGCCACATTCCACCCACTCTTCACCCAGGGGCCGGCTGGCACTTCCTCACTGGGAACTGGGCACCCAATCTGACGTCAGCAGCCCACCGGATCAGCTCACTCACGGGAATTCTATCATGGGGGGGGGGGGCGAGGAGAGCGTATTTTTAGAGGCCTCCTCTCCAACATCAGCAACTGTCTCTGGTTTCACACCAAAGAGAGGAAGGAAAAAGAAGGGCTGTGCACACACCCCCTCTGCCCCAAAGCTCTTGGAGAGCCCCCACTTCTGTAGCTAACTCCCACGGCTCTCTGTTGCCCCCGTGTGAAGGAAGGGCAGACGGCAGGAGGGGGGCAGGTAGGGCTGATTTGGGGGCTGGAATTCAAGGCTGGGCATTGCAAGCCCCCTGCAAGCGAGTGGCATGGCCTTGATACCCCCAGAAAGGCCAAAGGTCATGCCAGGCCTGCCGCTCCCCTGAGGGTTACCCCTTGGCTGGGCACGGCAGACTCCGGACACCCTTTGGAGCTTGGCAGTGACCGGGATGGCACTGATCCTATGAATTGGGGGAGAAGATCAGCTCTTACAGACCAGACCAAAATGCACAGTGGGCCCATCCTCTCTTCTGGGGGGCCAAGAGGATTCTGGGAAAGCGACAAACTGGACACCGAAGCAGCTGCTTCACACACACACACTCACACATGTATACACACGTATACACACGGCACAGAGGTGGACTTGGCTGCGATCAGTGGCCACAAACCGCCCTGCCCTCCTCCTCCTCCTCCTCCTTGGAAGTCCAGATGCCAGCAG